AGATACACACATATACAAACACATATACACATATATATGCACACACATACACACACATATACACACACGCGGTGAAACCTGTGAGAGCTGAAACTCGACAGGACCGCTTTGTTTTTCCTGGTCTCACAAGTTTTCCGCCTTTGACAGGGTGCAGTCTTCCCACTTTCCTGTCACTCGTTTTAGTGGAAAACTTCTGCGTTTTCCTTCTCTAACAGGTTTCCACCTTACACAGGTTCTGGCTTTTGCAGGTCTCACTGTATGAAAGATCCCTGGGTGGCAGAAACAGTTTGCTCTTGGCCACTAACCAAAAGGCATTTCGCACTCACCCTGCAGCTCCGCTGAAGAAAGGCCTGGTGATCTACTTCCATAAAGATTACAGCCAAGAAGACCCTATGGAGCAGTCCTACTCTGTCACACGTGGGGTTACCATGGGTCAGAATGGACTCTACAGCAGCTGGTTTGGTTATGCGTATATATACATCTAGGTATAGATACGTGTGTGTGTGTGTGTCTAGGTATAGATACGTGTGTGTGTATATATATATCCTTTTGGTATTATCATTTTGCATAGATTTTTCTCAGCTGCTCATCATGGCAATGCTTTGAGTACACACCTTTCTAATTTATTTTTATGCTGAGAATCTATCAAGAAAACTAGTACACCCATCAGAAACATGGAGGAACATGTGGTTGACTGCCAGAAAACGGCTTATTCTCTCTAGTAAAAATTTTCTGGGAAGAGGTGGCAATGTATCCTTATGTCTTTTCTTTGATGGAAGATACTATACTGTATTTCAGCCAGAGATCACCGGGGTTGCTTGAAAATGACAGGTCAATTGTCTGTGAGCTACACCTACTTGCTCAGTCTAGTTTTTACAGCATAAAGCTGGAAGCTGTTCTCATCTCAAAGTATCATAACACTTAGGGTTGCCCTAGTTTGCATCCATCCCGGAAAAGTGCAGGATGTATGTCTTTGAAATAAAGAAGTAAAATTTAGAGGATGGAAATTTATTTTATTCTTATGCTTCTGATTTTTTCTTTTCTTTTTTTTTTTTTTTTTGGTGACTCTGCATAAATAATAAGATTCCAATCGAGTACTTTTTCCAAAAATGTGGAAATGGTAATAAACATGATGTAGGACCCTTTTAAATTCTGCTTACGATTCAGTAAGATGTCCCAGGGTGAAACCTCAAGGCAGCCGCTATTTCAAGCACCACCGTGCAGACATTGGAGAACCTGGGTGATGCAAATGGTTAAGAGCTCGGCTGCTAACTGAAAGGTTGGCAATTTGAGTTCACCCACGGGCACCTCGGAAGAAAGGCCTGGTGATCTGCTTCTGAAAAAATCAGTCGTTGAAAACCCTGTGGAGCACAGTTCTACTCTGACCCAACACATGGGGTCTCCATGAGTCAGAATCTACCTGATGGCAACGGGTTTGTGTGTTTCTTTACGCATACATTCAGAACTGACTTCTGGCGTGCTAAAAAGCAGGCTGCCTAAAGTGTATGTCCGGGGTGGCTGTGCACCGTCATTCTCTCAGGAAGTCTGATCGCAGCTTGAACCCCTCTTACCCACAGACTGTTCATCCTCAGCAAGAAAGAAGAAAAGTGAATTTTACAGCGGACATGCTCCTCTCATTTAAAATTCAGGGGGCAACTTGACATTTTAATTGCACACAGGTAACAGGAAACTGTAGACATAAAACATTCATTTTCCCCAGTTTAAAAGTTCGTATCGGAAGCTCCTGTATTTCATGCAAAATATTGCTACTTGGCGTATGAAATTGGATGGTTTCAGAAAGGAAGAATTAGGTGTTCTTTGGATCCAGCTTACAAATGCATCTGAACCACACCTTCAACATGATAATGCTTTTCATTTCCCCCGGGCCTCGGTGTTACAACTCTGTAGTACTGTAGGGAGTAAGGGACTACAGTTCTACGCAAAAGCAGGAGCAGTAGTGCCGTCCCAGGATCACACTTGGGGAGGGTGTGGAATGAGCGCTCCCCACCCCTCCAGCATTCAGCTCGGCCCTGGACTCTCAGGGCTTAGGAGAAAGCTTAGAGTGAAGAATTGCTTTCCCTGAGAGCAGCGCCCAAACATTCCTGCTAAAGCAGACAGTCATCAGTTAATCTCTGTAAATGACTACGGTTTGGGCAGGTGTCAGCTGGTACAGAAATTGCTCACATGCTCAAACTTTTTCTTTTTTTTTTTTAAGCATAGGGCAGTGAAGGGGTACAAATCAACACACAATCTCACGTTGAGCCTGTCCACAGAGGCTTACCTGACATGACTTGTTCCTGTTAGGTTTCTCGAGGGCACGTGTCCCCACACTTGGTGGCTGAGGCAGACACAGTTAAGTGGCCTTTTTCAAAGGCTGGCCGTAGACGTCACCACGATGAGTGCCACGTATTCAGAAAGATCTCGTGTACATCATTCCCTTGGGTCACCCGTCGTCTTTGACACGGTGTTCTTCAAAAACACCACTGGGCGCCCAAGGAATGGGCAGTTTCTTTGAATTAAACCTGTTGGAAGCACCATTACTTCACTGATCGGCATCCTTTCTGAGGCCATAGAACTTTCCAGAAGCATTTATCCTTCTTCAGTCCATAGGTGGCACAGACGAGTAAGCATTCAACTGCTAGTCAAAAGGTTGGCAGTTCGAACCCACCCAGAGGTGGTTCGGAAGACAGGCCTGATGATCTACTTCCAAAAGGTCACAGCCTTGAAAACCTATGGAGCAGTTCTGCTCTGCACACGTGGGGTTGCCGTGAGTCGGAATAGTCCCAAGGGCACCCGGAAACACCAGTCATTTCAGTGGTGCTAAATCCACAACTGAACTACGAGGAGACAGCTATTACGGACCCCGCCTTTGTCTCTCCTGGACTCCCAGCCGTCAGCTAGACATTTAAAGGGCTGAACTGTTGTGTTCTGGGTGGTTTTTGAGTGGGGATTGTTTGTTTTTCTGCAAGAAAACTTTGGGTTTCACTGTCTGGTCATCAGGAAGCTGTGACTCTGTCACAGAGAGGAGGGAGGAGTTGAGGAAAGTTCCATTTAGGGACACCGAGTTACCACCATGACTGAGTGAAACAGAATGTTTTAGAAGAAGATGTCGTGCTTCTAAGGGAGAAGGATGATGGGGTTGCTCCAGGGCCTGACCCCATAGCTTTTTGTCCCCAGGCCGGTGCTTAAAATACTCACCCCTGAAGAGGCGTCACGTGTGTGCTGGTCCCCGTGACTTAGGGTGTTTGCCTTCAGGTCGAGGGTTGTGGGCCGGAGCGCTGAATCAGAGTGCACATTTGCCTTGGTGACAGATGAAAGAGGGAGCAGTGCATTTGAACTATACAAATATTATGCTTAAGTATTTTTCTCATTTTGGAACCAAACAGGTCTTGTTAATGATAAAATCGCTGCAATATAGTGGACCCTTCTTCTGGTCTGGAATTTGAGACCGTGTAAACTGTGCCAGGGGCCTGGCAGCAGGCAGAAACGGCAAGGCACGGACATTTGGGGCCATGATACAAGTTATAAAATGTAATCTTACGATTGTAGCCGCTGGGAGCCGGGCTAAAGCAAACCTCCCCACCCCAACTCTTACCCCGGGCTGGGAGTCGAATCAAGGATCCTCTTTCTAATTTAAGGCTGCGTTAGGGCGTGTGAAAGAGCACTTTATTGTGGCAACAAGCAGGCTTCTCCAGTCTCTTCGGAGACTTGACAATCAGGGTGTTTTGTGTGTGAGATGGTCAATGCGTCTTTATTCGAACCACAGGGGTGAGAGGGAGCGGGGGGCGTCCTCCGTGCCCCCGTGGCTTCAAGAGCTCAGTCTCTTGTTCAAAGACACGTTGATGGTAGAGGAAGGGAGGTCACAGGCCCACCTCCTGGCCTGTCCTGGTAATAGTGATTTTGATGAGGAGGGACAAGAGGCCACTTAACGTCTCCACAGACACTGAGGGGCCATCTTGGATTTCCGGGCCCCCTAGAGAACCTCACCAAGTCTGCCGGTGGCTCTCCTGGGGCTCCAGTAGGCCCAGCCTGATGGGAATATTGGACACAGCATGCTGCAACTTTCTGTCAACTCCTTCTGAGGGGGTGCGCCTGGGAAGTTGGCTTCTTGGGAGCGAAAGTGCTCCCAGAAAGCTCATGAGGAGAGGGACAGAGGCTGAGGGGCCCAGGAGGAAAGCTCATGAGGAGAGGGACAGAGGCTGAGGGGCCGAGGAGGAGGAAAGCTCATGAGGAGAGGGACAGAGGCTGAGGGGCCTAGGAGGAGGAGAGCTCATGAGGAGAGGGACACAGGCTGAGGGGCCAAGGAAGAGGAGAGCTCATGAGGAGAGGGACAGAGGCTGAGGGGCCCAGGAGGAGAGCTCATGAGGAGAGGGACACAGGCTGAGGGGCCCAGGAGGAGAGCTCATGAGGAGAGGGACAGAGGCTGAGGGGCCGAGCAGCCCTGCGTTCGACAGGAACCTGGCCTCTCCAGGGCCTGCGGGCTCCCAGCCACGCCACGTTTCCTTTGTGAAGGGGTGGTCCCTAACCCCAGGGCCCACTTTGCTGCCCCTAAAACCTGCCTGTGGTTGGGTGGTTGGGTTTGCAGTCGGAAGCTGCTGTTCCGAAGTATGTGAGCCATCGGGAAATCGCCTTTTCTGCCGCCACAGCTCAGCCACGGTGTGTGGCCCAGGGTCAACAGCCAGTGCCCCTCCCTTCCCGTCCACCATCACCACCAAGCCCTGTCTGTCTACTGCCTCCTGCCCAGTGGAGATGGGTGCAGAGGGGTGGGCGGTGCTGGGCCCCGACTGGGAGGACCCTCTGGCCAGTGCAGCCAGAGGGCCCAGTCTGCTTCGTGGACAGCAGCTCCGAGCTCCCTCTGGGAGACCCCACCTTTGCAAACCTCTCCACAACCACATCGTGGTGGGGGAAGGGAGGGGAAAGAAGACAAGAAAGCACCAGTTTTAGAAAACCCGCAGTACATTCTCTGATCTCTCCCTCCCCACCCCTGCTCCCCACACTAGGACACCGGCAGAAGCTAGATGACCAGGCCAAGCCCGGGAGCTTGTCCTTCTCCGAGCGGCTCAGTGAGCTGGAGCAGCTGCGGCGGACAGCCATGAGGGTTAGCCCACACCACCCAGCCCCCACACCCAACCGCGCCTCCGTGAACCACGCCGCTGCCTTTAACCCTCAGCCTCAGAGTCAGATACAGGGTAAGTACCAGCCACAGACCTGGCAGCCAGACCAGTTGGGGCATCTCCTCGATGCTCAGGGGGTGGATCTGGGACCAGCGGCACCCCAAGGCCTGGAAGCACATTAGGAATGCAGGGTGCTGGGTCCTACCCCAGGCCTACTGAGTCGGAGTCTGCATTGTAACGAGATCCCAGACTGAGCAGCACTGCTATGTAGGAGATACGGCAATATGGAGATATGTGTGTGTATATGTAACATATATATAGTCTTGAACTTTTTTAAAGTTAGCTTTAGCTATGCTATCTTCTGACTTACCCATTAGGTTTGAAGATACAGATCACACACCAAACAGGTGAAGGTAGAATATTGCAAGTTCTTGTTGTCTTCAGATTATTTGTGGGGTTTTGTATGTGGTATATGCTTTTTCAGGATTAAACATTATAAAGAAATACTAGGAATGTATAGATGCCATCCTATAACAAGTATTATTTGCAAATCAATAAAGAATGCCGGTCCTCCCCGCTCTGCCCCGGGGCTACCTGGCGATTGCAAAAACACTGTAAAATACAATAATTGCATACAACCCACTGTGCCAAATTCAGTAACACGCGAAGTTCTGGAGACCCCGCAAATGAAATCCTTTACCCTGTGGGAACCGCTGATGTCAGTCATTGCTCTGTGCTGTCACTGGAAGTAGGCAGAATGCAGCCGGCTTCTCTGAGCCGTGCAGCACACGGCTGAGCACGCCCGGGTAACAGTCACATTCCTGTCTGAAGGTAGCAGGTGTGGAGAATGCAAAGGAAGATGAGCAGCACAACTCGGGGAGGGACGTGGTCGCGCCTCACCTCTCTCTGACAGCACCAAGTGGCTCCCCCAGCCCTGTGCCGGTCCTGTTGTGCCCCCTCTGTCCATGGGCTGCCTTGTGCACATACAAGCATCCCACGTTCTTTAGATTTTCCAGGCCAGTAACACTCGTTTGTGGCCCCTGAGTGGTGGACTACTGCTCCCCTACTGAGCTGGCAGGCAGTGGTTCCAGCCCCCGCTGCGGTGCCGCGGAGAAGGGCCTGGCGATCTGCTCCCGTAAAGATCACAGCTAAGAAGACCCTATGGGGCACAGTTCTACTGTGTAACACCCGGGTCACCACGAGTCGGAACTGACTCGACAGCAACGGTTTGGTGTTCTGTTTTAGCTCCCTTTGGGGGCTAGCACATGGGGACTCTCTGTCTTTCCCGGAGTATGAGGGGCCACTCAGTCAGCTTCTGCAGTCATATTTCTGGAAAGGTTCTTTCATAGGAGTGAAAATTCCCCCAAAGAAATCTTCCAATAAAACACGATGCACACAGCTGCTAAGTGGCCTATCTGTAGATGAGCCCTTTTCCCACAGACGGAAACGAGAAGCTTTGTGTTTTGGGGGCTGCTTTTCACCTAAGTTCTCATCTTAGGAGAGGAGCCGTGAAATCGTCTGTCTCCTGGTGCTTAATAATCATTGATAATTATTCAAAAATGCATATTGATTTTTTAAAAGACATTCCAAAATGCAAGCGTGTGTGGTAAATTAGGTTAAATGGCACTTTAAGTGAGAGGGTTGGGCTGGGATGAAATGATACTTTTCTTCTGAAGAGAATACAGCACTCACCAGGTTTTCCTTGTCTTCTGTTTAGGGTCGTTCCCATGCATTTATGTTGTCTCCGGGGCTGCATGTGTAACGTCCAAGGGAAGCCTTTTTTCTCATTCTCTCTGACTGCCTGACCGTTAGACCAGTGGACAAAGGGATGTCCTTTCCCTGTTGATAACCAGTTGCCATGGAGTTGACTCCGACTCATGGCGACCTCACGTGTGTTAGAGTGGAACTGTGCTCCACAGGGTTTTCAGTGACGGATTTTCCAGAAGTAGATCACCAGGCCTTTCTACCAAGGTGCCTCTGGGTGCACTCAGACCTCCAGCCTTTCTGCTAGCAGCCGAGCGTGTTCACCGTTTACATTACCCATAGACCCCTTTCCTGCTAATGAAAAAACAGAAACCAAACCTGTCGCCGTTGAGTCCCTTCAGACTCAGGGCGACCCCGTGTGTTACAGAAGAGAACTGCTCCCTAGGGTTTTCTTGGCTTTAATCTTTATGGATGCAGATTGCCAGGCCTTTCTTCTGCAGTGCTACTGAGTGAGTTCGAACCAGCAGCCTTTAGGTTAGTAGCTGAGTGCAAACTGTTTGCACCACCCAGGAACCTTTGTCCAACTGATAGTAGAACTAAAAATATTAAGCATTTTAAAAAGTGCCTTTAAAGGGCAATGGAAAATTCACCCACAGAGGGGCAAACTGAGATTGTCACCACTGAGTCTGCTTTGTTTCAGACAATTTCAGCCAAGAGTGCATCCAATCTTCCTCTTTATCAGATGCCATCCCGTAACCAAAAAAGAAAAAAAAAAGGCAGGGAGCTTGTTGAAGTCTTCCCGCAGCAGTCAGCAGCCCTGTGGGTGGAGGCATTACCGTGGACATGAATTCTTCAGCTACTTTGGAAATACTATATGCCTAGCAGAGTATCAGGTCTAACATGGAGCCATCACCCCTTTCTTGTTCCTTTTAAAAACTCTTTCTGCAATGTCTCAGTAATAACAACTCGCTTTTAGAGTTCCCTAGGGCCTGGTCCTACTTGAAAGAATGTGTTAACTATATTGCTGATGTGCTTTCTTTCCAAAATATGTATTTACTATTCAGTGCTTCACTTGTAAAGTTGTAGAAACAACTTTTAAAAAATAAGTAGCCAGGATATTTTCATGTAAAATCACTTTTCCTCTCTTTTTTCCCCCTACAAGAAAATACTGTTTTACCCTCGTGTGCTTTGAGTAGACCCTTGAGATTTTTCTTGAAATTAGAACATTAACAGGGATAATATTAAAGTCTTTTGCAGCCAGAACCTTCATTTTGTTCTTCACACGTAGGAAAATGGTTCATTTCCAGGCTTAGCCATAGAGCTTCAACATACACTTAAGAAGACACTTGATAGAAAAATTCAACATGTGTTTATGGCTCCCTTTGAAATGGCAGCAGTCATTTTAAGAAAAAACGCCCCAAAAGTCGTCAGACCAGCTCTGCAGCAGCGCGGTGTGGATGTGTGAATGTTTTCAGCTTTACCGAAATGTCTGTAACGGGGGCCTTGGAGGGACCGCTGGGGTTTACAGGGAGGCTCTGTTGGTAGGAAATCACAGCTCTAGAACAAGACTTCTATTTATCTAGAATCAGATGTGCTTGAAAACCACTCAAAACAGACATCTACCATTATCTGACCCGGGGTACAGGTGGAGAGGGAGGTAGTTGCCATGCCGCCAAACCGCTGTGTATTTGTTGAGGTTTTAACTATGAAAGGGCTGGGGTTAATTTCAACTTCCTATTTTACCAGGTCTTAAAAATTGAATAGCCAGCCATTTATGTCCTGGGTACACAGTTATGCAAGCCGAGAGATCATAAATTTCTACGGTCGGATTTTATTGTTCTTTTCTATTCATGGGGAGGAGAAGGTGCACCTGTCCTTTTCAAAGATCTAACCAGAAGATTCTAGAGAAACAGCCGTACCGACGCGCTGACACTGGGTCCGTCACTCCTCCCACCGAGAGGACCTCAGGAATCCAGGGCAAGTCATTTTAACAGTTTGACACCTGATTTACCAAAAATGATGAGCCACATTTAAAAGTATGTCACTTCCTCCTTTCTGGGAAGATGGGGACCGAGCATTCTCTGATGATGCAGAAAACTGTCAAAACCAGAACAATTATGAGACCAGCTTTGTGGTTCTTGTGTGTGTTGCCGAAAATGCCTGGGCGTAAGGTTTGACTCTTCAAGTGGACCATTTATGAGGTATTTTGGCACGGGTCAGCCCCTTCGTAGACATGATTGTGTTCTCACGATGGTCGTGTAGTATGGCTTACAGAGTTAGAAATTGAGCCCAGAGGTTAAAAATTGTCCAGCATCTCCAGGAGACTAAGTGAAGGAACTGGGACTCAAACTCACGGCTTTCGGACTCCAACTCGAGTGCTGGTGGGGAGGAAGCAGGTTCTCTGTGCTTGCATTCTTTAATCAAGGCTCAGTTAGATCCAGAACTGGCCAGTGTCGAGGAGAACCCCGGTCGCCAAGGGACAGGTGGGAGAGATGTCGGGCTGGGCACGGATCTGGCGGTCCCGCACTGAATGTGTTCTGTCGTGCTTAGATGTTACGGTGACGGTAACGACTTGCAGGCATTGTGCGCCCGCTTAGGGGCCAGACTCTGCAGTGGGGACCTTTGTAAGTTAGCTCCTTTGGGTGCACACCATTTGTTTTTAAAGATGAGGAGAAAAGGACAACATTTAATCCAGAATAATGAATCTCTAAGAGAGATGTGTGGGCAGGGGGAGGGCTTCCCTTTCACTTGGTTTACTTGATTTGGACAACTGCCTGGTCTTCCTACAAGTGACAGCTTCTCCTGTAGGGTCTATCGGGACCAAAGCCTTCTTAATACCCAAACACTGTCAACATCTGATCGGCTGTCACGGGTGTGGGCGCCTCACTGTGAGAGGCCTGTGTGGCCAGGTGGAGCCCCGGACCTCTCAGATCATCTCTGATTTGTAGTATGCCAAAGGGTTTCTGTTTTGATAGTTATTTGCCGCAAAAGTTAAAGTTACTTTGGCAATACCACGTTCTAGCGCTGTCTGCTAGTATCTGTGAAACACTCTGAGACACTGAATTAACTCTGTTTCTCAGCTGGGTGGGGGGACTGTTTCAGCCTGACCCTCTCTTCATCAGCTGGCTCGGCAAAGGCAGAAAAAACTCTCCCATCTTTCTGTAGGAGGAGGAAGTAAATCCCCTGTCCAACCTTTTGGAGTAAAATATCAAACTACAGAGCATTTCTTTCCTTATCCTTCCTTTCTCCCTCCCTCCTTCCCTTCCTCCCTCTTTCCTCTTTCCCTCCCTCCCTCCTCGCTTCCTCCCTTCCTCCCCTCCTCCCTTCCTCCCTTCCTTTCCTCCTCCCTTCCTTCCCTCCTCCCTTCCTTC